TGCTGCTGCTGCTGCTGCTGCTGCTGCTGCTGCTGCTGCGGCTGCTGCGGCTGCTGCTGCTGCTGTGGGTCCAGCGACTGCTGATGCCTTGCTTTCCCTCTGTGGACCTTGTTAGTTGCCACATCATCTTTGTGTGCGCCGACGCCTGGGTGTTCTATTCTGTACGCCCAGAGCGCTGTGCCCGACCCCACGCCATTGAATGGCCCTGGCTTGTGCACGCCCCGCGGCGGCATCCGGCTCCTGCGGCCCGGCCGTGGGGCTCAAGAGATGGCGTCGCCACAGTGTTTGTTCTGCGACGCAGTGATGCAGCCTGAGTGCAACAGCAGCCCTCTCCGTCGGGCGTGCGCTAAGGCACGGCGCGTGTGCCTTGTCTCACTCTGTTTCTGAAGCTGAGCACTTGTGTTTCTTGTGCTGGCACAATCCCAGCAGCAGCGCTTTTCGAACCCTGCAGCTCAAAACTTTGAGAGTGTCAGAACTCAACTGTAACACCACCTCCTCCTCCTTCCAGTCCCTCTGCCTTCGCCACCGCGCGATTGGCGCTGGTAGCCCCCCCTGCCAGTGGGACCCCGTGCCGCAAATCGTGTGTCGAGGGCCTGGGTTACACCCTCCATGCGTTACACCCATCCACTCCTAGCCAGGAAACTGCCACGCCAGTACGCCGCCAATGCGCCAGGCCACAGCACGATTGGGACCTGAGGCACTGCTCGCGGGGCATGAGTGACGCTGGACTCGGCAGCGGCGACAGCGAGCAACTCAGTAGGGTGCGTGTGTTCAGCTGTGCCCCAGCAGTGGCGCTTGGCAAGCGCGTGTTGGGGGAAGCCACGAGACAACAAAAGGAATTGAAAAATGGTACAGCTCAAGCAACTTGCATGCTGCAGCACGGCTCGCGCCCCCCTGTGCGGCGCTACCAGCGCCGCGCAACACCCGCGCCCAAGTGCCAAGACAGAGGGGCGTGCTGCGCGGTCCGATTGGTACCAAGGGCTGGGCCTCCCGGGTCAGATGACCTCAGATCTGATGAGATCAGGCGTTCAGAGGTGCCAGAATTGTGTGTTCCGCCGCCGCCAATTGGCAGCCGGCGCGCTCCATTCCGGATAATTGTGCGTGGAGTGGAATGGCCGTTGTGCGGCGTTCGTCGATGCGCGCGTGCAACACCCGGAGGGGGCAGGGTGCTGAAGGGAAGATGCTTCGATCCATCTCGTAAAGCGCAGTCGGGCGCGCCTGGCGCGGCTGCCGGCGCGGGCGCCACGGGCTGCGCACGAGGGTTGCGTCGTCGCTACTGATTGTGGGGTGGTCGGGCTGAGAAGCGTGGCACGCTGGCAACCCCTCCTGCGGCCCAAGGCGGTCCTGATGCTGCTATTGCGGTCGACGGGGCGCGGCCCAAAAGGCTTGGGCGTAATGGCGCCGGCCGGCCCAGGGGGTGTCGCAAATCTGTGGAAAAAGGCAAGGCAAAGCAAGGCGGACCAGGCCAGTGCAGGGCCCGCCTCGCGGGCGCTGTGCAAGGGGTTGGCGCGATTTGTACAGTTTGCAACGCCTGGCGCCGAGGCGCAGCCTATCTTAGCGCACGGAACCAGACGGGCCGCGTGCGCATAATCCGACAGCGCAATGCGCGAGAGGCGGGCGCTTTGCTCGACCCACGAGTGCTGCCAGGTCAAAGCTGTGGGGCTGGCCCCTGCCGCCTTATGCTGTGTGCACGCGGGCCGCGCAGAGCGCCGTGCGCGCCCGTGGCCCCTGTGCAATCAAGGGTCAACGTGCCGGGCACTTGAGAAGGAGCGGCCCGCGGAAAGAATCAAGGCGTGCGGGCGCAGGGGCAGCGCCGCGCCAGCCACCACAGGGTTGGATCAGAGGCCAATCAAGCTTGCGCCCGCCAGAAGGCAGGGTACTCGCCCAGGCTCCCACCGGCCCGTGCAAAGCCTGGGGTGCTCCGATTCCAATCTTAAAATACGCCTGGCCGCGTCAAGTGTACATTGACGGCCGCGGGCGTCCCCAGAGCTTCTCTGATCGCGCGTCCCGCCGTGCCCGCGTTCCTGAAGAGATGCGGCGGTCGGCGGCGCACCGCGGGCCCTTAATCGCGGGCTTATGGACGGGTGCAGGCTGCGAGGCGGGGACGCCGGGCTCGCGGCGCCCCGACCTGCCCCGCCCCGTCCCAAAGACTCAAAAAATGGCGCCAAAAGGGCGCGCATGCGGCCGACCGAAAGATTGCGGGGCCGGTTTGCATGGCTGGGTGACATGCGGCGGGCTGAGCGCGAACCGATTGGGGTGCTGGGCAGAACATGGCGGGGGTGCGCGTCAGGGCATGGCGAGTCGCATGCATGCGGGGCCCGTGTCACCCAGATCTGGATCAAACACCTTCAGACCTCGTGACTTGCCCGGACGCGCTTGGCACGCTGGTCGTAAAGAGAAAAAAGGAGGGTTGCCGAGTCAAGGCCTTGTCCGCGCAGTGCAAAGGCCTCCTGTGCGCCCTCGCAGCCCGGGAGCCACAGCAGCACGTGAAACAGATAACGGCGCACTTAAGCGGCCCCGCCGATGGTCCCAGGGTGGCCGCGCACGAAATGCCGGCGCCGCCCCCCCCCCCCCCGGTTGCGGCGGCCGCACATGCGCCAAAGCACGCCGCCGACGCGCGCGCCGCGGCGCGCCGGGGACGGGCGCCGCGCGCGACGCGGATCCCTCCGTCAAAGGGCAGCGAGAGCGGCGATGTTTGCAGAAGACCAATTGGGGGTTGGTCAGTCAGAGGCCCAGCCTGCCAGCCGGAGGGCGGCGCGCGCAGGCGCTCCTTCTGTCAGTTCAAGCCCCCCTCCCGCCCACCCCTGGGTGTCAAGGGGCTATGCAGTCGAGCCCGTCCCCGCCCGCCGCCTCGAGCGCCGCCGCGGCCGAGCTGAGCGGCAGCAGGCTGCCCCACAGGTCCAGCGCGGCGCTGCTGTCGCAGCAGTCGATCTGGGCGAGCACAGCGGGGTCCAGCCCGCCGCTGCTCGAGCGGC